CGTGTGCGTGCGCGTGTGAGTTGGGGGGGAGAGAGTAACGCTGAAGAAGGCCGAGTTCGTGACCCTTGAGGTGTACGTTCTCTTAGCTGTTCAGGCGGTGTTTTCTCGATTGAAGCAGGATCATTCTGTAACTATTTTCAAACAAGAGAAGTTTTTGAACATTTCAGGGGATCATTGTTCTAATACATTTGGACCCCTATCAATCGTCCCTGCGTAGAAGAACAGAACTGTCCAGAGGCTGCATTACTGCGCTGGCTTCCCTGTGAGGCCTCGTAAAGGCCTGAAACCAGGGTGCTGCCCAGGGTAACAGCCGCCCAGGGTGTCCTGCGGCCCTTCCCCGTCCCCTCCCCCACCCCGGGCACCGACGCAAACGCCCGTTTCCTTAGTGCCCAGCAGAGCTTTCCCAGGGCTCCAAAGCAGGGCTCCAACCTTCTCACATCCTTCAGGAATTTATTGTAAGATTAAAGCGTATTCTTTTAAGTCTTTGGGGACAATAACGTAAGTCCAAAGCAGCAACGCGTGCTTAGATGTGGTCCGCCAAGGGGGCCGAGACTTCTTCACCTACAGATTGTATCCACTATAGAAATAATTGTAAAAATTTACTTCCTTATATTTTTGTCTTAAGATTTTGGGGGATGATTCTCTTTTGCACTAAAACTAAAGGATTCCCAATGTCATGTCTTTTAAATAATGTCAGGATTTTAAATTTAATAATTGTACAAAGATTAGTCCATGTTTATATCCTAAAATAATAGTATTTTACATGTTCCAAAAACAAATTGAACATGTGGTTTCAAAGTAATTGAGGTTGGACAGAATCCATAGAGCTAATAAAACTTTTATTAATATTAAACTAAGTTTAGAAAATATTCAAGTGATTCTAAAACACATTGTCATTTCCCATATACTATATTTTTGCCAATCTAAAGGCACCAACTGCTTGTAACGATGCCAATTTTAATTAACCTCAACTCTTTGTCCCTATATACTGTACATTCTTTTTTTGTTCTTTATATTGCAACTTGTAAATCTAATTTTGAAAATCTAATTGCCACAAATTGCCTTTTAATCGCTAGAATGCCTTTGCCCCCACCCCCCGCCATGATTAATTCCTGTATCTGAGAGAGAGGAAGGCAGCCCCGCAGGCTGGACCCTCGCCGGGCGGGCAGGCCCCTGCCGCGGTGCTGGGAGTGGGCCCAGGGCTCCCCTGGGGCGTGACCCCCAGAACGCCAACCTCAGGCCGGGCCTTGCTGGTGAGGGGGGCAGAAACCAGCTTTGTGAGTGTGTCTAAGCACAGACAAAAAGGTCACGCTGCCCTCCACCTGGAAACCAAGAGTCCCCTCCCCTGGCCAGTAATGGAGTGATGGCCACCCCTCACCAGGTGCTGCTGGAGCCCAGAGCCAGACCCCCTGCAGCTCGAGGGGGTTTGCAGAGACGCCCAGGCCCAGGAGGCGCGTGGCCAGGCCCCGGCCCCGCCCCGCCTTGCGCCCTTCCCGGGGTGTTCGATCCACAGCCCGGATCCTTCGGCCACGGCCTCACAGAGTGGCCGTTCCCCTGTGCCCCTCATTGCCGTGGGCCGTAAGCCCAACTTTCTCAACTACAGGTGTTCCTGGTGGCCTTTGGCCAGAGGGTATGGCCACATCCACATCCCAAAATTGTGAATATTAAACTAGTCGAATTTTATGTAAAAGAACTTTGTAAACTATAAAGTTCTACTGAAAAGTTGATGTATTAGGATTTCTCGATTTAGAATTTTGCTTTCGGTAAATTCATCGAAACCCATGAGTGTTTTATTAACATTCTACTTTTAAAATATATATGATAAATAGTTCCCTTTTCAAATATAAAACATATGTTTTTTTCTACTCTAGGTTTACCATCTCAACTAAGTAAAGATCCTATGGCTCTAAAAATAATTTATCCTTTTAAAGGTTCTTTTCACTATGAGAACTGATCTCTGTTCTAGTTCAGGTTTTAAATTAGCTTTAAATTAGTGGCAAGTAATATCCCAGTCCTTCTTTCAAAGACAGTGATGGAACAGTATTTCTTAAACCTCTTGTTCCCAATTCTAACCCGTGAGCGACGTATACTTTTCCTTTAGTTACCACTTTAGAGGGTGGAATTTTAAAGGGTCGGGGGTCGCAGGTAAGGGGAGGGGGCTTTGTCCCTCCCATTCGCTTAGCCAGACCTTCACAGTCACCACTTGACCCACGGCCTGGAGAGGACGCTGCGCCCCGCCCTCCTGTCACCCCGCAGCGGTTGGCGTGAACAGGCGCCCGCCTTCGGCCCCGGCAGCGCGCTCGCCAGGCCGGGAGGCCGAGTCTTCGCCCAGCGCTCCGCGCGGCCGGCCGGGCCGGAGCCTGCGCCGCCGTTGCCCTGGCGCCTGGGCCTGCTGCGCGCCTTCAGCTGTTTTCTGTTTGGACAAGGATCCAGGCGCTCAAATAGCCGCATCTCGCAGACGGAAGGGCCGCTGGTCTGTGACTCGGCCTCCTGTGAACATTTGAGTACCAGGTCCCACAAATTGTGCGGGATTAAAGCGTACCCCCCCCCCCCGCCCCGCCGCGCGCGCCCCTCTCCCGCCGGTGGATTATCCGTGTTTTCTCGGTGGCTGGTTGGCCTCCCAGAAGGGAAAGCGAGCAGGCCCCGCGCCCCTTAAACAGGCTTTGGGGTTGGAAGCCGTAGTGGGAGATTTCCAAAGAGCGAGGGCAAAAATGACACGCTGAGACGGCTGAGCGTTCTGTGATGTGTCTTTCCCACAGAAGGACCAGTGTGAAGCCCTTTTATGAACCCCCAGAACATACCAGTTCAGTAGAACAAGACTGGAGCAAAAGCAAAAGGAACAAGGTGTCCTTTCAGAAACGCAGAAGAACGTAAAGAAAATGTGCTCCCTGTTAAAAGCTTACAGAATTGTGCTTAAAATCCATAATATATTTCAGTAAATCAGTGTGCATGGTTTTCATACTGCGCTTCGCGATTTCTTTTCCATTTTTCCCCCAATTTAATTGCTTGGCTCTGTTGACTGACTTTTAAGGGAAAGAAGCAGTTCGCCATTTTCAATGTTTCTGATCACTCCTCGACCCCCAGGGCCAGAAGCCTTCATTAAACCCGCAGTCTTGGCCTTCGGTGTCTAACGGGGACTTTCGCAGGCCGCGTTTAGCCCGGCCCCGCGAAGGCTAAGCCGGCACTTTGTTTCGGATGTGAACCGCATCCCCTTCTTTCTCACCTCGCCCCAGTCTGGAGTACGAGCTCCTGGGTTTCTCCAGAAGGGAAACAGGAAGCGTGACGTCCAAAGGCGCCCCGGCGGTTGAAGGGTTAAGGGAGCGGCTGGAGGCGGCCGGGCGCTGGGGGACCGCGCGCGGGGCGCGGGGGCAGGGGCGCCGCCGAGCGCGCGCGCAGACCCTCCAATAAACACAAAGGAGGGCCTGGGGAATAGAAACCCAAATCCACTTGTAATCGTACAAGAGATTCGGGCATAATTACTTGAGCAACCTAGATTAAGATTGATGAGCCTTTAAAGTGGCGCTTCAGATCGACCGCCTCGCCCTTTGGAAAGAAAAACCTCGTGGAGCCGAGGGGGACCCCGACTCCGCGGGCTCCGCGGCGGAAGCCGCGGCCCGAGCCCCCAGCCGGCCCCCGGGCGGCCTCCGGGCGGGGGCGAAAGCCGTGAAATAGGCGCAGGGAAAGCTTAGTGCTCGCCGGGCCGGCGGTCGCGCCCGGGGGTGCAGGCCGACACCGACATGGTGGGCTTCACAGCCGCCCCTCCGAGCGCGACCGAAGCCGGCCGAGCCCGCCCGGGGCCTCCGGCGACGGAACGGCCGGCTTTGTGCGGGCGGTGGCGGGTTCCGTGTCGTGCCAGTTCCCCGCGAGTGCGGCCCCCTCACCGCGCCCCGCCTGCCCGCGTGGCGGTGGCCGTGGCCTTGCGAGCCGCTCTCCGCGCGCAGCCTCCGTGGAGAGCCCGGCCCGAGCGCCCGCCGGGGACCCTCCTTCCCGTCGCCTCCCTGCTGCCGTGGCGACTCCTTGGGCTAAACGCAGGCGGTGGGGGCAGCGGAGGAGACTGCCGTGCGCCCTCGCTGCAGACGGACGCTCGTTACTTCTGCTTTCCTCGCCTGTGGTCTGAAACCCAAGGCCGGGAGGAATGCCTCCCCTTCGGGAATCTTTATTAAAGGAGCAGCGAAGCGACCCCCTTCCCCTTTAAATTAATATTCTAGTATGTGAGATCCGTCGTTTTAAACTCTGACCCGGCTGCCGGGACTTGAACGGAGCCCCTTCGAGCGCAGCGCGCCAACGTCTCTTTTACTGCAACTCAATCCCTCTAGTTTCAAAAGTTGAGAAACAGGACTTGTCGGACCCTTTCCTGAGAATCGTTTTGTTCAAATGCTCTACAGTTTCGTCACTTTTTGACCGATTCTCGGTGAGAAAAGTCACTGCTACGATCCCCCCCCCTTTTTTTTTTCTGTATAAGAAACGCATTTAATGTCCGTGTGTGCGCGCCGATGTTTTAACAACGTCCCTGCAGGCGCCGTCTCTCCATCCCGTCCGGCCGCCTCCCAGCCTCTCCCCGGCTCGCGGGGAACCTGCTGCCGCCGCCCGGCTCGGGGACGGCTGGCTCCTGCGGGCAGGGCCGGCGCCCAGGCCCTCGGACGGGCGGGGGCTCCTGGCGGAATCGGGCCTTCCGGAGTCCGTCCTGCACTTCCAAGTTGTGAATGACAGCGCCCCACCAACCATGTAGGGTCTCTAGGAAGAGGTCGCAAACCCGCTCGCTCAGGGTCACTTACCCGGTTCCCTGGCCCCTTGGTTTTTACAGAATTATCTCTAGCCTCCCGGTAAGGCAAATGTGTGTGCGCCAAGCAGACCTCATCTCACATGAAAGGAGCTTGCTGCATAATACAGGCAGCATTTTTAAAAATGGATCTTTAAAACTAAAAAACTAAGGTCCCCCTGTCGGAGGAGGCCAGAGAGAGCCCCAAGACCCAGCCTGACCCCGCGCCCCTGTCTTTCAGGCCCGGTGGTGCTCAGCACGCCCGCCCAGCTCATCGCTCCCGTGGTGGTGGCCAAGGGGACCCTCTCCATCACCACGGCGGAGATCTACTTCGAGGTGGACGAGGACGACCCTGCCTTCAAGAAGATCGACACCAAAGTGAGTTAACGCGCTGCCGCGGCAGTGCTGGGGGCTTTGGGGCAGGAAGTGGTTTCCAGTTTTGCTGGGTTTTAAATGACAGTGGGGGAGGGGAGCCGAGTCCCGTCTTCCTCATAGAAAATAAAATGAATGAAGAAATAACACACTCTTTATGTTGTGGGATTTTAAATCTTCGGTCACCAGAGCAGGCCCATTTTAACAGCCTGCCTGAGAGAGGCTTTGTGTGCCTTTGGGCCGATTTGGTAGTTAGGCCGCCGCCCCCAGCTCCCCGGGGCCTAACCCGCACTCTCTGGAAGGCTAGAGGGTCTGAGGAAATTTCTCGCTGAGATCGCTGTTAATTCCCCAAAGTGTAGATTGCAGTGTGAATTCGTTTTCATTGAAAGGTTATAAGGAAACTGCAGGGAGGGGGTGCCATTTAGATATAAATTCGTCTCCATTATTACATCCATTTTTCATCTCCTGAAGAGTGGGTTTTACATAAGAATTTAAGATGAATAGAAACTGATTCTCTGAGAAGCCTTGACTTAAAATGTGTACATCCTCGCGCTCAGATGTTTGAAGCTGGCATTGTTCTGGGGGTGTAAAGCCGGAGAAAACATATTGGGAAGGCTTGGAATGCAGTTGTTTGTTTATTGACTCTTGTGTAGATTTGAAAACCAAGTAAGTGCCTGGGCCTGCTCCGCGCCTCCACTCCCTCTTCTGCGATTGGCGTGACTGTTATTTTAACTTTTATGTTACTGTGCAGTTTGTAAACTTTTCTTCTTGAGGTTAAAAACTCAAGAACGGAAGTGTCATGCTAGATAGTCAAGAATCATTTTACAAAGGTCTTCCTTGAAAGCGGTTTTCAGAGGCAACTATTCTAAAATAGTTAAAGGCAAATGCTCCCACAGAGCCAGAACTTTATTCTTTGTATTTAATTTCATATAGAAATTAAGCATCACAGAATGCTACTTGTAGAGGAGCAATCAAAATTCTAAAATTACCCCCGTCGGAGTGAACTGACACCATAGGGCCCCGAGTGCTTGGCCCTCCGAGCGCTTGCGGACCGTTGAAGCCCGCAGGGTTGGGCAGGGCATCGCCACTTCTCCCGCCAAAGGACCTGAACTGTACAAATGAGCGTGTGTGACTCTAAACAGCTTGAATCTTGTCTTTATGCTTTTACCATCGGCTAGCCCTGTGACGTACAAAGGAGCTTTGGGTTTCTGATTAATCTATTCAGCTATTTAATGCTGCATAAAATAAGGTCTGACATTAACTAGTCAGAAGTTACCTTCAGTTTACTAGCACAGTGTTCATGTACAGATTGCAGAATTTTCATTATTACTTTGTTAAGTTCACTTCTTGTGAGTTAGTCTGATTTTTGACTCAGCAATCTTTCCTGTCCTGACATTTTTTACCCCTTATATCATAAAAAATGCTACAGAAATACTAGCCCAAAACAGCATGCCTTCCTGGGTAGATTTAAATTGTGTCTGTTATAGAAAGAAATAGTCTTACAAATAAGTTAGAAACTGAGAGCTGATCATTATCTTCTGTAGCTCTACAAAAGCATTGTACGGTTTTATTTTTAATGATTTCATTAACATAATTCTCCAAATGTTTAAAATACTCAAGTGGGTTCAGTCTTCAAAATGAAGCAATCCATCTTTTCATAGAAAAACAATTTGAAGTGAGACACAACAACTTTTATTTTACCTCTTTATTAGCTTCTAATTAAATAAAAACCAGCAACAGAAATTAAAATCTAAATCACAAAATTATCCAGTGTATTTCAAGTGCATTTTTCAAATATATAATTCAGATATTCAAGCGTTATTATATACGCTGAATTCAAATTTCTTTGAATATATTTAAATAACATTTCAAGTATACTTAATGGAATGTTAGAAATAGAACAAGCAATATATTTGAAACAAAATGTAAACTTTTTAAAGTTCAGACACCTTCCAAGACAGATAAAAGTACCAGGAGGAAATCTACCTTTAAATGGCATCTTTGTTAGTGGGAAACGTCTTGAAGTATCCAAAATGGCCATTAAACTTCTGTTCACCACATCACGAAACACCGACATCCACACTTCAAAGACAATGGGAGATCACAACATCGGTTACAAATCGAAATATACACCCCAGGCTCCTTGGCGGGCAGGTCCCAGCGAGTTCACTCAGAGGCGGCACCCGAACCCGGGTCGCTGTGATCCGCGGCGGGCCGGCTGCTTTTCCGGGGCTCAGGGCGAGCCCTTCAGGGGGCCTTGGAACCCTTGTGAGGAAGCCTCGGACACTCACGGGGTGGGGCTTTCCTTCATCCGCTCCCCGCACTCGCTCCTCTCCCCCGGAGGGGCGGCTGAGACGGTGCCTGAACCTTGCGTTCCGCCTCCTTTCTAAGAAAGGGACTGTCGCGCGGGGCGGGAGACGGGGCTCGGGCCGGAGGCGTCCGCGGCGCGCGGGCCCCGGGGGCGCCCTCGCGGTCCGGCTGCCGGGCGCGCCGGCCTCTAAAGTTTCTCCAGACTCTTGGGGTTGGTGAGGATCTCCCTGGCCAGCCGCCACGTCTGCTTGGCGGCGTTCTCCAGCGCCGAGTGCGGCTTGCCCTGGAAGAGGTCGAGGTTGGGGAGGAAGTAGTGCGGGCAGCGCCGGCACTGCAGGCAGGAGATGAGCTGCAGCAAGATGCCGTTGAGCCGGTCGCCCAGGCAGGACTCGTCCCAGTCCGACTCCCGGGGGTGCTTCTCGCACTCGTAGGAGACCAGAGTCTTCATGTGGTAGTTGTTGAGGGGCTGGCCCGGCAGCTCCAGGTGGCGGTCCCGCAGGGTCTTGAGGATGGAGAGGCATTTCTTGCGGCAGCCGCCCATCTGCAGGCGGTTCTCGGCCTCGGCGAACTGCAGCACCCAGGCGTCGCTCTCGGCCGAGCTCTGCTTGCCGGCCAGGGAGTGGCACTCCTTGGACAGAAGGTTGAAGCCTTCCGCTTTGACCTCGGCCACCCGGTTGGGCCCCGGCCAGGGGATGTGGGGGAGCGGCCAGTGGGCCGCGCTGCGCGGCCAGATGCCCGTGCACTTGAACGCCGGCGTGATCTGCACCACGTACCGATCCCGGATCCGCAGTTTCACTTCGCTGGTGTCCGCCACCATCTTTACCACGTCCCTGTAGCTGCATTTGTCCACCGCCTGAGCCACCAGCGTCTGGAACCGGGACCGGATCTTGCGCGCCGAGAGGTAGCCGGAGGCGGTGATGAATTCCACCCACAGGGACATGCTCCGCTTGCGCCCGTCGCTCAGCTTCAGCACCGCGCAGCCGGGCAGCGAGCCGTCGTCCACGAAGTTGAACACCCCCATCTGGTTCAGGTAGAGCACCACCTCGAACTCGGTGGGCGAGATGACCTCCAGGCCTTCGTAGCGGTTGTCCATCTCGTTGAGGGAGCTGATGAAGCGCGGCTCCTGCACTTCCACCTCCTTGAGCACGTCGGACACGACTTTGCAGACTTCGCGGATGGTCTTGGCGATGGCGGCCTTCCGGGCCTGGCACTTCTCGTTGTAGTACTTGTTCAGGTGGTACACCAGCTTGGCCTGGGCCGCGATCATGTTGGGGCAGAGATCCGGGCTGTACACCGGAGTCTCGCAGTAGGCCGTGGGATCCAACGCGGCTGCGGGGGCTGGAGCCAACCTCGTGCAGAAAGGGCCCGGCGCCCGCGGCGTCTCCGGAGCGGTCCCGGCGCGCGGCCGCGGGCTCCGGGCGGCCGCGGTCCCCTCCTGGCGTCTCGGCTCCGGCCGCTCGGAAAGCGAAACCCCGCTCTCGCCGCCCTCTCCCTGCCTCTCTTCGTCCTCCTTGAACGAATCCCGGGGAGAGAGGGAGGCGCGGAGAGATCACCTTCTCCGTGAGAAAAACAAAAGTGGCTCTGGTCCCCAGCACAGGTCTTCCAGGAGTCAAAACAGGCAGCCCTTCCCGTGTTTATTTACGCTCCCTGGGAGTCATTGTGGGCGCAGGACGGAGCCCGGGCGGAGAAAAAGCGTGCCGAGCGTGTGCCGGTGCCGGGGTGCGTGTGCAGGGGACGTGTCGGGAGACGCCGCTGTCGGTTTGTCTCGGAGCCCAGATGCACTCGTGTGGAAATTATAAAGGCAGGGCCAGGCAGGCTGGCGGCCAATCGCCACTGGGCTCGTCACGACAGCCTCCTTCAGCTCCAGCCCGGCTAATTAATCCCCCTCCAGGACAGAGGCGCGGGAACCGAGGTCGGAGGCTGCTGCCGGCGGCCGCGCAGGCCGCCTGGGCGGCTTTGGGGAGCCCGAGGAGCCTCCCAGCCCTGGCTTCACTGGAAGCATGTTGCCGCGCTGAAGGGACCCGGCACAGCGGCGCTCCGCAGGGCTGGAGACCCGGCCTGTCCTTTCATCGCGAGCTGCGAGTGCAGGTGTATGTTCCAGCCGTCAGCCATCCAGGAGTGGGCGAGGCGGGGGCTTCGGAGACAGAAGCCACTGCCTTGCCTTTAGAGGAAGACAGCGGGGTGTGCGAGCCCGCCCCGTCTCCGACAGGGCAGGGTGGAAGTTTGTTTGCTCTTTCGCGCGTCTGTGCGAGTTGGCTTTCTGGATGTTCCTTCCTAGACGTTCGGAAGATCTTTTAAGAGTATTATGCTGTGTTTTAATTCTGTGTGTTCCTCATTTGCAGTTGTTGAAAGGAATCCGAAAATCATTGCTAAGGGTGTTAGACGTTGCCTACCCCAGTTTAAGTTAGGACGTTTAAAAAAAAGAATGTTTCGCAAACCCCTCCCCCGCCCACAGCCCTCTTTGTGCCGCTCCCTCGCCAGCGTCCCCACTGGCACACGCAGCCTCGCGGGCGCTCCCAGGAATGCTCGGAAGATCAGTGCCCTCCGTGAGGGGGAGATGTTGGTGTGCGTTCAGAGCGAGCTGTGCTCTCACATGTGAAATGCAAGAAACACCATTGACACGGGACCCGCGGGCAGACAACTGTCCTGGAAACGCGGGGCTCTGGGTTGGGTGGCTTGTTCGCAGATGTGCGAGTAAGGACATAGGTCACTCTCTGAGTGTCCTTGCTGGTGGCCTGGCAGTGGACGTACAGTTTTATAGGAGTCTTTGTGATCTGATTAAGGGGAAATGGGTAAGATCTTAAAAAGAAAATTCATTCGCAACCACGCACGGTTTTTTTTTTTTCTTTTAAATTATATAGCATTTTGGAAAAATTAGAAAGCAGCCAACATTTCTGAATCTGGAGCCTTAGAACAGGAAGGGGACTTGATGTAGATAGAACTTTCGGGGAGGGGCCCCAGTCGCGCCCTTAATGTGCAGGGAAGCAAAGACCTGTACTCAGGCTGACGCAGCGTTAAAACCCAGGCGGGTTTTTCATCGCCTACCTTTCATTTAGATGTGGTCTCTTTCCTGTGAAGAGTATTTCCAGCCGAACCCTCTAACTGCTGGAAAGAAAAGGTTTGTAGGCACTTTTCTCTCACGGCCACTTTCAACGAGATCTCGTTCAGCTCCCCTCCCGCCCCCCCACCCCGTTTTTACTCCAGTTTTTGACCTGGGGCGGGGGGAGTGGCGGCGTCCTGCGCAGCGTCCCAGAGCCACCCGTTGTTGACTTTCTCCTTCTCCGGGAGGGAGAGATTCCCATGTAGCTTAAAACAGTACGTGAGAGTGTGGGCTGATGGCATGGTCACCCCTGTTCCCCGAGAACCTTCCCCCCGGTGGGGGCAGGACTGGGCACCCCAGCACCCCTCCCCGCGGGCGGCGTCGCGGGTGAACGCACCGCTACCTCTGGCAGTTGGGAGAGGGAGCAAATCCGCGCCGGCGGCCCGCAGCCGCCGAGCTGGAGATGTGCCGCGGTCCCTGGGGAGAAGCCCCTCCGTCCTTCCCCCGCGCAGGCCCCTCTCCCGCTGCGCCGCACTCCCGCCGGCCTCCCCGCCCCGCAGGCTTCATTTCCGCCAGCGAGCGGTCGCTTGAGAGCCTCGCCGGGTGCGCCGGGCTTTCCTGCGTCCGCTGAAGGCCACGGGCCCTGCCCACGCAGCGCTCAGCCCGGGGCCCACGTGCGCTCGAGGCCAAGGGGCGCTCTCTAGTCCCCCAGCGCGCTCCCCCTGGTCAGGCCAGAGTTTCCTGGCCGAGCGCTCGCCCTCGACTTCCTGGGCCACCTGCAAGGACCCCAGTTGTCGAGGACAGGACGCAGCGTGGGGCGCGGAGGCCCCGGGGCCGTGCGGGCGAGTCGAACGCCAAGGACGCGCGGGGCGCCGGCCGGCCGGCCTCGCCGGAGCCAGGCGCGCAGGTGGCGCGTCTTCGGGCTCACTGTGCGGCTTAATTGGGTTAAAGCGAAGCTAAACACCCAAGCACTTTGTGCAAACTAATTGGTGTAACCGGGGCCTTTTCACTAACGATTTGCACTTTGAAGAAGAAAAATGGATGGTGAGGAAAGGACTAAGACGCTCGTTAGCCCTCCTGTGTCCCGGGGAAGTGAAGTTACTCCGTTTGCAGGGCTCGGGGCGCGCCGACGGAGCGGCCTCCGGGGCACCCACCCCCGGGGCGCTGACAGTGATTTACATAACACAGGCCCCTCGCGCTGTTCGCGCCGCGGGGATCCCGGCCCGGATCTCGCTGCGGCGCGGGTGCTGCCTGTCGCCGCGACCCGCGATTTTCTATTACACTGACCACGTGAGAGGAACTGCTTTCTGCCGCTGAACCTCCGGCGCCCCGACACCTCTCCGCGGCTGGAGGGAGCGCCCCGCTCTCCGGGGGGTGTGTCTCTCACCCCTTCTCTTCTGCTGAGATGGCTCACGAAGAGGAGCTTAGATGGTCTAGTTGGGGGGAGTTTCCTCTCTTTCAGCCGAGGCTTTAGAGAGAGATTTGTTTTGTGGGAGTAACTTAACTATTGTATAGTAAAATTTTTTTTTCTGAAATATCATTTGACCTATTGAACTAGAACTAGGTAGTTCACGCGATTATGTAATACACGGAGATAGCTTAAAGTCAATTTATTTACATAGGCAAAAACGTCATCAAACAACTTGAGTGGCACCAGTCTTTTATTATGTTGTACTATGAATGTAATGTTAGTACTAGAATAAAAGCTTGTGTGTGTCCCATCCTTCAGGATATAAATGTTAATTGTTGTCATTGGTATGCTGTGCAGGCTTGTTTGACAGGAGCTAATAATAGAACGATAATGGAAGAAAACTGACCTAATTGAAGAAAAAAAAACCCAGCAAGAATCTCACGATTTAATGATGGGAGATGCTTACATTTAAAGGGTATTTGGGATTTTAAGGTCTAACCAATTTGACTTTTTCATTTCATTTACTTAGTTTAGGCAGCCTTGATTTAAAAGACATCATTTAGGGGAAAAAATCCAAAGACTTCAGAAGCTTACCATTGTCATAAGTTTTTCATGTATTAACGAATATGAAACAATTAAATACTGTGATTTTTAACACATCAAAGCGTTCAAAATGACAATGGCAAAATGTTTCTCCTTACATGCTGTCTCCTAGGTGAGGTGTCCCCATTCCGTGGACCTGCCCACGTGATGGGCCGCACAATGTGATGCATAAATAGTCACCTTTTGGGTTTAAAGGAGTCGACTGTGTTGAGAAATGCAGGAATGCAAGGTTTCTGTTTTTCAAAAATACTAATTTAAATTTGAATTACATGTTCATAAATTTCAGGAATTGTGACCTTTCATCTGGGAAAAAATGTATCTGTTCGTTAGAGGATATGCACACACATGTTAAATGCTCACAAAGATATGTTTTGTGTTTTTTCATTATCTGCTGGCTGCTATTCTGTTCGCAAGTATTCATGAATTTAAAGTTTTATTTTTTAATATGTGCTTATTACACTGGGGAGATAAAAAGAATATGAAGTTGAGTTTATTGAATTATTTATCCCTACCGCTGGAGTGGCTTTGAAGGCTCATTGTGAGCATCTGATTTCTACCCCCCTCTTCCTTTTTTAAATGCACTCAGGCTATTTCATTCTGCCAGACACAATATATTTCTTTTTTTTACACTAGAGAAATTAAAGACAGATATTTGTGCAGGGTTTTCTTTATGTGTCACATTAAATAAAGTGAAATCGAGGGAGTTTTTCTGGTAATCTAATTTGATGGCATCTCCCCCTTTCTTCCTGTGGTGGCTCCTTGTGTAATAACACTTGAAACAAAGTAACTTGAGAGCTTCCAAAGTTTCCGTGGTTCCTTAAAACAATTATTTCATCTTTTAATATCAGGTCTATGACCAAGTGAAGCAGGGGACGAAGGTCACCGCACCACTTAGACCCCATGTTATCCCTTCAGCCAGAGCATCCAGAGCGCAGCAGTGAATTTTTTTAATCGCTTCTTTAATTCTTCGCTTGAATGACCAGGGCTGCCGCCGCTCAGGTTTCCTCATCCTCGCAGGACGCGGCCACGCGGCCACGTAGTCAGCGTCACAGCGGGGAGCGCTTCTCCTCTTCCTGCAGTGTTGCTGGGTGAACCTGTTCATGGACAAGAAAGGGGCTTTGAGATTAAAGCTGGAAGTTGAAAGTATACTTATTTTACAAGAATTATCAGCACCCTTACATTTGCAGACTTGTGTGAGGTGATGCCGGGTGTCCATCTGTCCAAAACCCTTCTTTTGGTCGAAAAAGAAATGTAAGGCCTAGGTTAGTTAGATGAGGAGCTCAGTCTCCAACTTCATGCAGGACATTTTGAGCTGCATCTGTAGACAGAGAAACTTGTGGGGAAGGGGTTATCAACAAAAATATTTTCTTATTGCTCAAAAGAGGTGCCATCCAACCCTTTCCAAACAGGCGAGGACGCTGGGGCTGGTCATCCATTTATTGAGTCTCGCGGAACAAGTTTCAATTCTGCGATTCCAGTTCTTCATAAACCTCTTAGAAAGTCAGGGCTATCTTCATAAACTCTAAAATTAAATTCCTATTGTTCGACTTCAGCTTGCATTTTCCAGTCAGGTATTCTAGACAGAGTCCGACAGGACGAATGAGCTCGTGTGCTTCTCTGCTGCATGGGAAGATGAAAACCAGGCATTCCCTACCCCAAAGCCAACGCGGGTGGACAGACACTGGCACATAGGGCCGCGTGCCTGGC